TGAACATTAGGGACCCGGCCTGCTCTACTGTTGTGTCCAGATGACATGGACACATGTCTGTCTATGACAATTAGGTTGACAGAAGTAGGTGGTCATTGTATGGAGGTGGTCAGCTATGGAGGGTCTACTGCATCTTTATGAGGAGCTTCTATGCTGCAGGCATTGTGGAAAAAATTTTGCTGCAGAACACGCTTGCGTGGAGGTGTCAAGCATTGATCACTGTAGTGGTTTCTCTTCAAGATGGCATCACCCTTGTTACCCACCAGGCTTTTTTCCCTGCAGGAATTTGCTCCTAAGCTCAGAATAATAATATATTTTGGGAATACATGTGATGGGAAGAAAAGGAGACTTAGTTGCTTCTATAGTTTTATTTATTATTTTCATTATTATTATTGTTGGCTTTCAAATTTATCACTGTCAATGATTCTTATTTTGATAAAAATTTCTGACCAGGCTCTGTGGCTTATGCCTGTAATCTATGGAATCAGATAGGCTCAGGGAGGAGCAATATTTGAGGCCAAATGTTAGACATCCTTCTGGTCTCTACAGAAAAGAAATAAAGTAATTATCTGGGCATAGTGGTGCACACCTGTAGTCCCAGCTACTCACGCGACTGAGACAGGAGAAATTCTTGACACTAGGAGTTTGAGGTTGCAGGGAGGTATGATGACATCACTGCACGCTAGTCTCAGTGACAGAGCAAGACTGTCTCAAAAAAAAATTATATTTTGAATACACTTATGAATCATACTTAGATTATATCTGTAGCATTCTATATGTCTGAAAGACTTTTCAACAAGTTTGTAAAGCCACTGTAAAGTCTCCCACGGAGAGGGGACTGTGGTGATTTTTAACAAGAAAATAATCAAAGATACAAAGATTTGATCATTTAAAGCTCCAGGATGAAAAAAAAAGGGGGGGGGTTTATGCAATGACCCTAAATCATGCTCACATACAGGGACAGGACATGACAGGAGTATTCAGCATCCATGTAAGATCCAGAACTATCTCAGACATTATTCCCAGGGGAACAGCTCCCGAGGAAGATCTGCCATCTTCTCCTGGAACACTTTATCAAAGGCTTCAGCTTGGGCCACTGTGAAGTAATTTTTCCAGTCCCCAGTCATGCCTGGAAAATAGGAAATAGACATTCAGGTCAGGTGGGAGTGAGACCCGAACACGGCTCCTCCTTGGTGAGTTCTTTCCGACCACCACCATGGACACTGTGGCTAATACAGTGTAATGACTAGTGGTCCATTGGTGGGCCCTTGTGCCACCTGGCAGCACAACTGTTTACACTCCTGCCTGCCTGGAGGTGACTTCTTACCTCCTCCTCTCTCCCAGCCCCTCCTGTGCACAGTCTCTCCAGAGTCATGCCCACTATGTCTGCTGACAAATCCAGCATTGAGCCCCTTCCTACCACCTTGAGATCAGACGAGATCAAGCATGTTCAGGTTGCTATGGCTGTAGACCCACCACCCCTGTACCTACCACCCCATTCCAAACCAGCATCATTTCTCTCCTGAGTTATGGTGATAGACTGTAAGCAGTTGCTTTGCTTCAGATTGTTCTCCTGAATTAGTGAGTCTCAGACAGCAGCACGCTTGACCCCTTCAGAAGGGAAGATACAACCTGCCTCTTTCCTGTCCAAGTTCTTTCAGGAACCTTGGATTTCACTCTGTACAAGTGTGTCAGGCACCTGTAAGGCTCCCCCAGTGAACTGTGTCCCTGTGGCTCCTCTAACTCCATCCCGTGACGACCCATTTGTTCACTGTGCTCCATCACACTGGGACTTGAGATTCTGCCTCACAGTGGGCAGGTGTCCCCACTGCTCTGGCCTCGTGCATTTCCATGTATTGCTCAGACCATGTGCATTCCCTGTCTTCTCCTTGGAAAGCTGTTCTCCCAGATGTATCTATGTCCTGCTTGTCTTTTTCCAGTTTTTGCTCCAGGGCATCCTTCTCAATGAGGTTCTCTCACCACCTAATTTAGAACTGCTAGTCCCCATCCTGCTGTATTTTACTACATAACACTTTCCTGTAGGATGGACTGTATGCATTTGTGTCTTGTGACTGTGTGTAAAGCATGTTTCTGTAATACATTATATACAAGTTTTCTAAAGTCCCGACTTTTATTTGCAATTGTGAAATATTTAGTGTTTCAAAGAAGGAAAGACATATATTAAGTACTAGAGGAATACTTGTTGAAAGAATGAATAAAAGAATAAAGCAATGAAGGCAGGACATGGTGACACAGGCCTGTAACCCTAGTTAGTAAGGTGGCTGTGCTAGGAGAATGATGAGAGTTCAGAAGTTCAAGGCTATCCTGTACAATGTAGGGAGACCCCCATCTTCACTAAAAATATGAATAAATAAGCTGCATGTAGTGGCTTGTTTGTGTAGAGTCCCAGCAAGTCCAGTGATTAAGTTGGGAGAACTGATTGAGCCCAGAAATTTGAGGCTGTAGTGACCTATGATTGCAACACAAAACTCTAGCCTGGGTGATAGAGTGAGACTCTAACAAACAAAAAAAAATATTACACAATTTACTAATATTTTGCTTTTGAATAGAAGAGGGAAACAAAAATACCTGAGAGCTTCCATGGTTAAACAATGGTGTGAATTTGAAACTAAAGATTTTCTTGTCGGAAGTCCTACTCTTTATTACAAGCTTATCTCATTATTTTATATAGTGCCTGGTCCACTACATGCAGCCTATTTGTTCATATTTTTATTGAAGATGGAGGTTTCCCTATGTTGCCCAGGATAGCCTTGAACTTCTGGACTCTCACAATTCTCCCAGCACAGCCACCTTACTAACTAGGGTTACAGGCCTGTGTCACCATGTCTTGCCTTCATTGCTTTATTCTTTTATTCATTCTTTCAACAAGTATTCCTCTAGTAACAAATTATTATTTATATAAATCATGATGTAGTTAAATAGGTAATATACATAACAGATAATTATACCTAATTTAATTATATATCATATAAATATAAAATATAAACTTATGTAGTAGAAATGATAGAGGAGAACATCTACTGTGTAACTAGTGTCCTATAAACGTCCATTGCTCTTTCATGTCCTCTCTTTGTCTGTACGTGTGTGTGTGTCCACGTTTCCTCTTCTTCTAAGGATGCAGGCATACTGTGTTAGGATCCACCCTAAAAGGCCCATGTCACTTTGCCTTCCATGTCCCAACCTCCATGTCCTTCTCACATGCAAATTACAATCTTAGCATCCCCAAAGTCCTAACCCATTCTAGCATCAAATCTAAGTCTAAAATCTGCTGTAAATATCCCCTAAGTCTCATAGAGGCATGAGTGAGATTTGAGGTATTCATTTGGAGACAAAATTCCTGTCTAGCTGCTAACCTGAGAAACCAGACACATTACCTGGTTTATTAGATCTTATTAGATCTACCTTAATAGATCTTATAATTCCAAAGAGAGTAATTTGAAACAAGAATGAGGTCATGAGACCCCAGGAATCCACACAACCCAGCAGGGTCAATTCCATTAGATGTTAGGGCGTAAGATTGACTTTGGTCTCTGTTCTACTGGATGACTGAGACAGCAGAGGCCCTGACCTGCTCAAGGTCCTTTGATGCTTTATAATCATTTGATTACTTGCTTCCATGAAGCACTATTACACATATATTTGAAATGTAGGATTTGGAAAAAAATTGATTCTTGACCTGTGCACAAAATATATTTCCGTTTGTCTTGAGCCCAAGTGAAGAGAGGACATGGACAAGTTTTAATCACATGGTCCTCACAATGTCAGATAGCAAAGCCTCTCCTCTCCTTTTTCCAGCTAAGTCAACCCTTCATTTGTGCCTTTCTTAAAGATAGTTTCCTACATTAATTTCCCAATGGGGTAGCTCCTGAATGACCAACCCAATTTCTGTCCTCCGTCCCCAGGTCAATCACAGCTTGCAAGCCTGGCAGGAGGAGCTGATTAACCTGGTCACTCTTCGTAGACCGAACACCCTCCTGTGTCAGATTTTGAGGAGAGAGAATCTTAATGATTTCTCATCACTCAGGTAACTTCTCATGATGGCTGAACTTTATCCAAGTGCCTTCAGCCACACCAGCACCATGATAAGAGACCCCCTAATGAGGGGACAGGAGAAATGCTCTAGGGGATGAGCAATTTGCATTTAATACATTCAAACCCTCCTTCATCTCAGCTATTAGCACCTGTTGTAAGCACAAGAAAGCCCTCCATGTATTCAGGGACATTTTGAAACCAGAGCATTTTCTCTTACCTTTTCTCAGAAGTGGGTTTTTGTGAACTAAATAAGCATCATCCACCACTGAGAAATTAGACATCTTGTTTTCTCTCATGGCCTGGAAGGAGCTATTCTTAAGAATTAGGCTGAGTTCTTCTGGCTCTACCTTCTTACCCAGGAACTGACAGATCTTCTCCACAGTTTTCTCTGTGTCCTAAAAGAAGGAAAAACAAGAGAGAGGATGTGAGAGAGAAAGGCAACAGAGAAACTAGGATGAGAAGCAGGATGAGGATGAGGAGAGGGAAGAAGAAGAGAGAAACAAGACACAGAAGGGAGAAGTGATGAAGTTGGATGCAGCCAGGAGAAAGCAGAGAAAAAGGTAAAGAAGAGAGAGCAGGAAGTATGTGAAAAATGCCAGAATCCTTTTGGATTTCTCAGTCCAGTCGATTTTTGGACAACATACCATTAAACAAGGCCTAGGGTTTCAAGAGAGACTGGAGAAGGGCTCCTAAATGATGATTAGGACTAAAGAAGGAGCAAATCAGGGAGAACTTGACAAAGATTTAAGGAACTGATTTCAACTCCTGGCTGTGCCATCAAACTATACTCTTACTCATAACTGACATTTAAATGATACATAAAGTTTTATAAGATCTTCTTATATATCAATAGAAAGTACTTTCTAATGAATCCTCAGAGATTACGATCTGAAAATAGCTTTTTATACTAGAAAGGCTTCCCTGTGAATCATAGACTTTGAGAATTAAAATGCTTAAAAAATTTTTTTTTAATTTCACAAGCCCCACAATTTCACGTAGCCACACAAGGGTGGAAACAGCTAAAATTGAAGTTCAGTGTGTGAGTTGAAAGGAAATTACAAGAAGTTATGGAATCATGATCCGAGGGACTTAAACATGTTAAGAAAGGTTTCCTGATTAAAATGGATTCATGCTGAGGCCGTCAAGGGATTTGACAGAGGTGGACAGAGGAAAGTGACCGGGAGTAATGCTTCTCAGGTGGAATCAACATCCAGTGTTTATGTCACTGTCTCTTTCTACAGGATGCCACCAATAGGTCAGATTCTTTCTGCTATGGTCTGCTAACCCTCACTGGTCCCGAGCATCACTTGATAGCTTCTCCTGTCTCTCAGTAGCCCCTCCAGTCCTCAGCATCTCAGCACATTCATGCTGGTTGATCTCATACCTGCATTTCTCTTCTTACCACTGAGGTTGAGATGTCAGACAGTTGGACACATCGCTGGAACTGACTGGAACTGACCTGAACTGTTCTGTCCCTTCGCCAGGGTCCTCTCATCACTGGGTCATCAGTAGCACCATATGTCCTGCCCACAAAGCTTTTTACAACCACCAGCGAGTGCATATGCCATGGTCTTCTGCCTGAATACCTGGAAAACTCCTTTAGATAGTTGAAGAGAAAGTGAAGAGGAACATGGAAGAAAAACATGAATGGTGTGAAATGGCAACTAGAAGGAGGGCAATGAAGACCAGGGAGCTAATCCCACTCTTAGTGCCTCTTTTCAAGGCTAAATTTTGACTGAGAAGGAGGAATGGAGACACAGAGAGGGACGTCAGAGGAAGAGAAGTTGATGGTGAGAGGGTGTGCACCAACGACTAAAATAATGGTTACCCGTTTCAACTCTTCATAACTCAGCATCAGGAAGTTCTCCCTCTCTCTCATGGACACCCAGCCACGAACATGGTCAAACCATGACCCAAATGGCACTGCATATGAGGAGGCAGAGAGACAGACAGGTTAATTCCACCTTTTAGGTTCACTCCCCCAACAGCTTTATTACAATATAATTGACAACAAAAGTTTGTAAATATTTACAGTGTACAATGCAATGTTTTGATTGATGTATACATTGGAAAGTGATAATATGGAGCTTAATACATAGTCATCATGTAGGTGTCATTATTTTGATAGTGGGAACATTTAAGATGTATTCACTTGCCTTTTTCATGTACATAATTACGTATCTGTATATGCACATATGTATTGCAGTATATACAAAGAGCCTCAACATACACCAAGAGCTCTCACAAGCCCTTTTCTTAGCTTCAATCATTATTGGTAGATTGGTATTTTTTTTTTTACACTGAGAGGGTTTTATTATTTGGCAAAAGTAATAGTTCCCAAGCCAGAATGTGCTGATATATTATTTTGAATACACCTTATTTCATCTGTTTCTCATTTCCGTCCAACTGTTTGGTTTTAGAAAACTCCCACACATCACAGCACTTCAAGGTGAGACACACCTGCGATAGAAGCAGTTTGGGGAGTGAGGAGAGACGCTCTCCATCTTGCACGGTTTGAATCCAAGGTTATGAATGGCTTCTCTCCAGGCTGCTAGAGCTCCAGAGACAGATCACAGCGGACACAAGGGACTCAGAATGCACTTTTGAGAAAAAATTGCCAAATTACAAGTGCTTGAAAAAGCCCAGGGATTCTGCACAACTAAAAGTACAGAGATTCCAGAATCAAGCAAACCTTTTCAGACTGATAGAAACAGAGGATTAAGGGAGTTTTGAATAGAGGCATTTTCTGAAAAACAATGTCAGAAAGTTAAACGGTCAGGATTATGTTGTCTGGGAAGGTAATGAAAAGCTGACGTTCAGGAAGTCACAAATTTGGAGAGTGGAGAAGAAGAATATAGTTATCTGTGACAGTACGAGAGTTGTTAGACTCAGCAAATAGTGTGGATGGTTTATCAGGGACAAGCTGAGGGGCTGACTAGAGCTCTGCTGCCACAAAGAATAGGTGGACTTTGCAGATTTGGATTCCAGCGGTGACAGATCCTTGTAAGCCCAGGGCTGGTGAGAAGTAGATACAAGGTGGGTGGCAGGGGAGGTTTGAGAACGGACTCCGCGCGCCCCCTAGCGTCCATATTTTACAGCACACTCACCATTTCCTTCCAGGAAACATTCAAGAAATTGTTTCACTGACTTGGGTTTCTTAGCGAAATTCACTGAACTCCAGTAGAAATAACCAGATACAATAACATCTTTGGGATTTCTGATGACATAAATCACCTTAATGGGAAAATAGAATGACAAATCAGTACATTTATTCCCACCTTTGGAAATCTTCCTAAAAATGGCAAAAAAACCATTCTTAGAATATGTCTATTGAATATTAATGAATCTTTTTAATTAATGACTTTATGCATTCATTAATAAAATGTAAAGTTTCTATGAAGTAGTCACTGCTCCAGGATCATAACAATGGAAGAGGACAGCATTGCCCTCCCCTCTGGGGTATATGAGTCTATTCACAATGTGAAGGAACTGGAGGGTTTTAAACTGTGAGAAGCATCATATTTGTGTAGATAGTTTAAAGATCATTAACAGGAGGATGATTTAATACATTATGGTGCATTCATAGATATATAGAAATATATATCCATATGTACATCCAAGACCATGCGTGATTCTCACAGACATCACATTGAATGAAGGAAGTCAGGCATCCAGCATTCATACAGCATGACTCTACTTGTATGAAGTTCAAGAACAAGCAAAACTAAGCTATGAGTTTAAGTCAGGGAGTGTTGACATCTGTGTGTGGACATTGGTGAAAATACTCATCAAGCTAATACTTAAGATCACTACCCACAAACACACACATCTACTCACATACACAAGGAAGATTAGTCGGCATTTGAGCATGTGAATTTTCCTTTGGATTCTGTACCCACTCTCTTTGTGACATTATTCTAGTCCTCATGTCTCTCTAGTCTTCAGTCTCCTCACACAGGGATTTACCAAAAACTATAAGACACATGTAAAGAGGCATGTTGTGACAAATTCTTTGTGTTACCACACAAGGTACAATTTCTAAGAGAGGAGACTGTTATGTGAAGTTTGTCCACTTGATTTCAACTGAAAAACATTAAACAATTCACAAACCAATAAAGACCTAGGAAAGCCTGTTTCTCTTTCCTTCCTCCCTCTCACCTTCCTCCCTCCCTCCCACCTTCCTCCCTCCCTCCCTCTCTCTTCCTTCCTTCCTTCTTTTGTTTTCTTTCTTCTTTTTTAATTTTATATATTTTAGCAAAGCAAGATTCTAAAATTGGTCTGATATATATGAGATCCTGGAACAGTTGTTCCTTTCGGTGATCACTGTTCAGCCACTGGGGAGATCCATGTGGCTGCTCATCTGCATAGACAGCTAACACACAGTAACACACAGAGGTTGGAAAAACTATCCACCACACCAGAGTGATCTCCCTGGATTTAAGCATTGATTGAAATGTGCTGGTTCTCATGTGAACAGCTCTCCTTCTTCTCAGTGGCAAGAGGCACTTAGTGAATTAAGATTTGCTCACTGTTTATTTTAGAATGACACAAAGGGGCTTATCTAGTATACTGAGCTCTGACAATTAAATTTGAGAACTACAACAAGGTCTGACAATTAAGGTTCAGAACTAGCCATCCTTCAAAAAGTGCTACATCCCTCATTGCTGAACATCACTAGGGTCACCTTGGAAGGCTCCCCCTGGGAAGGTTTGTACTGATGCCAGTGCTCAGTCTATGTTTCAAAGCAAGTTTGGAATTCTTTTTCTGGAATGAACATTAGAGTGCTGTCATCTTACCTGTAATGTCCTAAATCTCATCAAAACGTCTTCCTTTCAGTATTTTCTTTATCTTTAGGTAAAGAAATAACTCAATAGAGGCCAGATCTGGTGAGTAGGGAGAGTGCCCAGTACAGTTATTTGTTTACTGACTGAAAACTCCCTCATAGACAATGCCATGTGGGCTGATGCATTGTCATTTTGTAAGAGTCACATGGTATGGGCCAACATTTTCAGTTAAAATTGTCCTGTTTCTCCACTGATGTTTACTCGGACTGCTATACTTCTCACAACCAGCTAATGGTATTGACTCATAGTTCCATGAATTTGTGCAAGGGTTCCATCAAGGGTTCCATTGGTTTTGTCTGCTCATTACTGGGCCCCTGGTCTCTTCATTCGTGATGATTTCTCTGTACTCTAATAACCTGTCATCCACGTGTACACTGCCACTTTCTTCATGACATTATCCCCATTCACTTGGACTAACATGTCCCTGATTTCACTTCCACTCTTACCAACTTTACAAGAAATTTAATGTTTGTTCTTTGCTCTAGTGCAAACACTGAGAAACTCGTGATGGCACACAAACACACAATAACAATAAGAATGCCACTCAGGAAAATAGCACCACACATCCACACAAACACAGCTGTGAAACACTGATATACCTAAGTTGTCAATCCTTCCCAAGTTGTTTGCAAAGTCCTGCCAACATAAGTGCATAGTGGCAAGTTCAGGAATTTAATTCTCAGACCCTTTCATATAGAACAGTTGTATATTCTAGCTGGGCTTAAAATATGTTTATCTAAGGTTCTGCCATCATCACGTCACTTTGTGCCTGGCTTGTATCTTGCTGGCATATTATGTGGAATGGTTTCTATGCTTGCACTCAGCTACAGTTCGTGGAACAGCCACACTGGCATCACCTAATGCAGAATCTCAGGTCCCATCCAGACCTACTGAATGACAATGCATTTCAACAAGGTCTCCACATGATTTACAGACAAATTAACATTTGAAAGGCATTGGTCCTACATGTTTTGATGATGGTGCACTGACCTTGGCCTTGGAACTGAAGAAAGACTTGGGGAAGAGATGGATGGGGAGGTGGGAGGTGAGCAAGCGTGGGCCCTCCTTCTTATTTGCTAATTCAAACCCAGGGTCAGTCTCTATCCAGGGTGAGCGATCCCAGATTGGCACAGACTGAACCCACTTGGGATCCCCCTTGGAGTGAATCAGGCAGAGAATCTCCATTAACCAGTGTGTTCCTAGATAAAGAGGGGGAAATGATGGTCACTCCAATCTCATTCTTTTAAAAAAAAATGGTAAAATACACATAACACACAATGTACTGTTTAATTATTTATTTGTAGAGACAGAGTCTCACTTCATTGCCCTCAGTAGAGTGTTCTGGTGTCACAGCTCACAGCAACAACCTCTAACTCCTGGGCTTAGGCGATTCTCTTGCCTCAGGCTCCCATGTAGCTGGGACTACAGACGCCCACCACAATGCCCGGCTATTTTTTTGTTGACGTTTGAACTCACCACCCTTGGTATATGGGGCCGGCATCCTACTCACTGAGCCACAGGCGCTGCCCACAATGTACTGTTTTTAAGCATACAGTTTAGTAGTGTGAACTATGTTTCTGTTGTTGCACAACCAATCTCCATGTTTGTAATCTTGCATAACTGAGACCCTATTCATATTACACAACAATTCCTCATCTCCTCCTCCCTCAGCCCTGGTGACACCTCATGTAAGTAGAACCATACAGCGCATTTTTATGACTGGATAACTTAATTTAGTGTAATGTCCTCCAGGTTTATCCATGCTCTAGCATGCATCAGCATTTTCTTCCTTTTGAAGGAGGAATCCTATTTCTATTGTATCTACATGCCACAGTTTGTTGATCCCTCGTCTGTCAGCGGGTCTTTGGATTCCTGCCATCTTTTGGCCATTTGCTGAAGTCTTTGAGTAAGTCCCCATTGCTGTTTGTTTTTCAGGGTTCTGCCACTTGCAGTGCCTTTGGCCTCAAACTGGCCTCTTTGCAGACTCTCACCCCCCGGCCCCACTCCCATCTAGATATGACCTATGTCTTCTAGTCCCTTGGATTTGTCAGGCCCTTTTTCAATTTCTGACCATCACCCAGGATGCTTCCTCTTTGTGAAAATATCTCTTCTTACTAAGTAATCTCGATTTCATTCTTTCTATTGCACTTTAGATTCTGTTCCTTTTGTTAGGATTTCAGTGGTCATCCTTCTGCTTGCTTGTGGGGGATTGGGTGCATGCCAACCCCGACCTGGTTTGAATGCTGGCTGGGAAATTGATGCTGATAATTTTCTCCAATATACAAAATCTGAAAATGTCCGTAGATGGCTTACATTCACTCAGGCTGAGCAGTCTGAGAAAATGCAGCACCTTCCTGGCTTCATTAGAAGGCTTTTATTAATTTTTAACAAAGGTGCAAATGATAGGGTTGAAAGAATCTTAAGTTTTCTAGAAAGGCTGGATAAAGAGAAAGCCAGGACAAGTGGTAGGGGTTAGTAAGCAGCCCACAGTGCATGTGAATGGAGACGGAGGCAGAAACTAGTTCTAGTCAGGCCAGCGAAGTCAATCAGGTTTTCTAAATTAACTACACATTCAAAGAGTTTAATGCTTGCCAGCTGCTGACCTGAATGCATAGGCCTAGTCTGGCCTGTCCAGGCCCCTCTGGGTTCTTTCCCTCTTCCATGGTTTTAAAGAAACCCAAGGGATTGTCTGCCTGGCTGTGTTTTTCTGAATATCCCACAATTGAGGTTCAGTGCTCCACTGAGCAGAGTCCACCTATCTACCTTCCACACCTGCTGATACACACACCTGAATCAGCTTTAATATTCAGTCCTCTGGGTTCTCCCCCTCTGAACACTCACTTTACTGTGTAAAATTCATTCCCTGACTGAATCCTTTTCTTTGAACTTACATGGTACTAGACATTCCCCAACCCAGGCCAGCTAAAACAGCAGTGATAACTGCAACAAGAAGTAGCTGGATGTTGTGGCCGGCACCTGTAGTCCCAGCTACTTGGCAGTCTGAGGCAAGAGAATCTCCTAAGCCCAGGAGTTGGAGGTTGCTGTGAGCTGTGATGCCACAGCACTCTACCAGGACGACAAAGTGAGACTGTGTGTCAAAAAAACAAACAACCCCCCCCCCCAAATCTGTTCTAATCAGTACCTGAGGAGGTGGCTCCTGCCTGTCATCCCAGGCAGAAGTGTGAGGTTGGCTTTTTGACCAATGATTCAAGTCAGCCTCAGCAATATAGTGAGACCCCATATCAATAACAAATAATTGTTTTTAAAAAAATTAACTCAGCCATGGGGCTCAAGACTGTAGTTGCAGCTACTTTGCAGGACTTTGGGGCTGCAGTGAGGTTGATTGGGCCACTGTACTGCAGCTGAGCCACAAAGTGAGTAGAAAATCACTCCTGTCTGTACCCAGATAATGAGGAACACAGAAACAGCCTTTCTCGGTTCAGGATTCTGTTCCTTACCTGATTTGGGGAAAGTCACTGTTACTACATCTTCATCCTTCATGACAAACTCTTCTCGTGCTTTTCTAAGGATTTCCGGACTGTAGAAGACCCGCGGGAAAGGGATCCCTTCATACCATAAGTTGTCGTCTGACATGATGAGCAGGTCCTTGTTGTGGTGTGAGGGTTTCAGCTACAGACACTGCTGAAGGCTATGGCACCTTCTGGTGAAAGGTTCTGGACCCAAGGATAAAATCATTTCCAGACACAAGACGAAAGGAAGACAGACATCCAATTCATGAGATTAAAGCGGCTATCATTCCACCTGGAGTGTAGATAGGCTGAGATTCCTGACTAAGGAGAAATTCACATGTGGCCTATGGCAGACAGGGATTTTAAAGCGTTAAGGCAGCTAGGATTGGTGGCATTTCTATTTCCTGGGAGGGACATGTGTGTGGCCCTTCCTGGGTAGGCCATGAACCTGACCCTGCCTGGGTGGGGCAAATTTATTTGGGCAGGTACACTTGATTCTGGCAAGTTAGGTTTTCTAGTAAAGAGAAAACAATCATTAATTTCTGCCTACTTATGGCAATGTTGGCTTGCTGATTCAGGGAAGTAGGTATGGTGACCGACAGCTACAAGTTTAATGAAATTGAGAAATTATGAACTCAATAAAACATTGTGGAGGTAGTCTGAGTTTAAATTCATGGGCGTGAACTGCAAATTCAGTGACAAAAATGCAAGGACATACAAATATGTGCACATTTCAAAATATTTTAAAAGCAAGTCTCAGTGGCTCACGCCTGCAATAGTGTGACTTTGGGAAGCTGAAGTGGATGGATTGCTTGAGCTCAGGAGTTCAAGACCAGCCTGAGCCACAGTGAGACCCCATCTCTCCTAAAAATAGAAAAAAACTAGGTGGGCATTGTGGTAAGTGTCTATACTCCCAGCTACATGGGAAGCTGGGACAAGAGGATAACTTGCACCCAAGAATTTGAAGTTGCTGTGAACTAATGATGCCACAGCATTCTACCCAGGGTCACATTGTAAGACTCTGTCTAAAAAATTATAATGATAAATATATTTTCAATAAGCTTTATTTTTTATGAATAAAGATATATAGAGAAATTGCAAAGTGAGTACAAAGTGTTCCTATAGTTTCAGATTTCCTTAACTTTTACCGAATCCTAGGAGGATTTTTCTTCTCCACAATGTCATCCAGGACATCAGATTACATATAACAGTCAAGTCTCTTTAGGTTCCTCTTGGCTGTGACAGTTTCTCAGACATTCTTTGTTTCTGATGTCCCTGACAATGTGGAGGAATCTTGGTCAGTTGTTTTGTAGAATGTCCCCTCAGTGGGATTTGTTGGCTGTTTTTTCTCACAATTAGACTGGGTTTGTGTATTTTGGAGAGAAAGGTCATAGAAACAAATGCCATTACCATCACTAAAAATCAAGGGTACTTCCTATCAACATGGTCATCTGAGGTCACGTGATTCAGATTTCCCCATTGTGACTTTCCATTTCCCTTCCTTCCTTTCTCTATCTAGAATTCAAGTCAGATCTAGACTTGAAGATCGTCATAAGATCACATTGTGTAAACCCCAATCAAGAAACATTCTGAAAATACTAAGTGTGTCCTCTTTAAATTGTCACATGGTTATGAAAACAAGGAAAACTGAGCCCACATCTCAGACGGAAGGAACGTGAAGCTACGTATTGCATGAATCCTGGACCACATGTGCACACCATGCAGCAGTTATATCAAGGGAACAGTTGGCCAAATTAGAACCTGCAACATGGATTGAGATAATTTCCGTAATTTGACTGTGGACACATAGGATGTATCCTCATTCTAAGAACAAACCCAAAGTTTTAAGGGATAAAAGAGAATAATTGGCCAGGTACAGTGGCTCACACCTATAATCTTAGCACTCTGGGAGGCTCAGGTAGGAGGATCACTTGAGCTCAGAAATCCAAGACAAGCCTAAGTACCAGTAAGACCTCATTCCTATGACAAAAAAATTAAAAAATTAGCCTGACACAGCAATATGTACCTATGATCTCACTCTCAGGAGGCTGAAGCAGAAAGAGCACCTGATCCCAGGAGTTTGAGGTTGCTATGAGCTGTGATGACACCACTGCACGCTACCACAGCCAACACAGTGAGATTGTGTCTGAAAAAAAAAAAAAAACACTTCCTCTACAACAACTGAGGCTGTAGCAACACTATATTTATATGAAAAGTGTATTTACATGAAAAGAATGAAGCTGAACACTTACCCTACAATGTATACATTAATTAAAATGGAATACCTGAAATATCCTAAAACTCTTAGAATAAAGATAAGGATAAATGTCCCTGACCTTGGATTTTCCAGTAGTTTCTTTGCCAAGGAAACATCAATTCACGTGCCAAGGAAGAAGAAAAAAATAGATGGAGTGTGCTGCCGTGAAAACCATTTATGCCTCAAGGAGCACTGTCAAGACAGTGGAAAGAAAACCTGCCGAACAGGAGAAAATATTTAGATTATATATCTGAACAAATAAAGAACTTCTACAACTGAACAAGAAAAATAGTCAATTAAAAATGGGCCCAAGATAAGCAAACAGCCAAGATGTGTAGGAAAGAAGGTTATTAATCATTAGAGAAATGCAAATCAAAGGTACTTCCTATCTACCACGGTCACTTGAGAACATTGCCCCAACCAATTGGACTGAATCTGTCTTTCAAGAATACTACACTGAAGAGCAATATTATACACATTCACATACCCAGGGCTTACTCAGCAAGACAGGCCAGGATGGGGAGCAAGATGGCAGAGGGGATGCATCCCTGAGTCAACTCTCCTGGTGGATTCAAGTGAGAGTGAGGGGGCTGAATCTTTCCCGTGTGGAGTGCTGAGATAGACAAGCAGTGCAGGGCATGCAATAAGGAGGTGAATTGCTGGATTGGAAGTGTAGCCCAGAACTACTGTGTCTGCCAGAAAAAACTCAGGGCAGCAGCTGAAAGGGCGCCAGCTGTGACTGCAAACGGTGGCACCAGGTCCACTGCTGGTGACCTGAGAGGCAGAAACCAATCCCTCCCCCATGAAGGACTTCTGTGCCCAATTCCTGGGGAGTTTGTGTGTTTCACAGAGATTGTAGTGAGGCTTGGATTCCTGAGTGGAATTGGGTAGCCAGAAATGGGAGCCATTTGGACCCGGTTTGGGGTGTCAGGCATCCAGGCATTCGGACAGAAACTTGAGGAAAAGGGACTCCACTTAGGAACTAATCCATCCTGTAATTTTGGAAGTCTGTGTGGAGCTGCACTGATGCAATGACCCACAGAGGGAATTGGTACCCTTCCTACAAGCACGGAAAAATCTTTTGTGCACACTGCAGCGGCGGTGGGAACTAGAACAGCAGCCCTTTCCCCATCAAAAATAAACTGATCACGGAGCAAGCAAGAAGTGCCCATCTCTTTTCCCTTGGACCACAACAATTTTCTGTTCAAGAGGAAATTAGGAGTTGAGTGGAAAATCTGGCAAAGTGTGGACTCATGTGCCGAGTTTGGAGGACAGATAGGAGTGGGCAGCCAGCCAGGAACCAGATGTAATGTAAAACTCCAAAAATGGCGTCTCCGTAACATGGCTCCCAGAAGCACCAAGAGCTCATTCTGACCTGCAGCCAGCCATCTGGCATCTGAAACGAATCCAAGATGCCCAACACTTTGCAGGAATTGTTCTAGGGAGAATCTATGCAACCTGCTTTCTTTTTCTTTTTTTTCTTTTTTTTCCCTTTCTTTTAGGTTTTAGCATGGGGAACCATGCACAGTGCCACTTGCTGTCTAGAAAATATATTGCAGCATAATTATATTTCCTTTAAACTGGAACCCCACCACGATTGTAAAGGGGTTTGTTTGTATATATTCAAAAGAACAGTCTTTTTCTTAGTGGTGCCCTCCTTTTTTAAAAATTTTTATTTTCTTTCTTCTTTGTTTTACTACTTGTTTTCTCTACCGTTTTATGAACAATATTTTTGTGGTTATCTTTTATTACTAACTTTTTTTTTTTGTCAGTTTGTTGATTAGTTGGTCTTTTGTTTTGTTTTCTTTTTTGTCTGTTTGCTTGTTTCTGAGTGTCTGGGCATCGGTGTGCTTGTGTGTCTGGTAGCATTTTAGTCTGTTTATTTGTCCAATTTGTTTCGATGTGTTTTGTACTTTGCTAAAACCTCAGGTTGGCTATACTCCCTAACTACAATTTTCACACCCAATAAGAATTTGGAGGAACAGGGGATGAGAGCTGACTGGAGCTAGGTTTCAACATAAACTTTAGTTCAGCGGGAGAGACAACTGGCAGAAAAACCCAACAAAGCTGAAGGTGGGGAGCCGAGCAGAGAAAAGAGATAGATAAACACACGTCTTCCCCACTGAGGCAAACCACGACTTCAAGAAAACAAATTCCAGGTCTAGATTGAGCTCAAGCAGACTATTCTCCAGCTCCCATTGAGTGCCTGTGGCAGATAGGCTTCAACTATCTCTGCTGGCTGGTGACAAAGATTGGTTACCGAGTGGAGAAGGCATTGACATTACCTGGACTCTGGTAGGCACAAACCCCCAACTCACTCACCTATTGGACAGGACTGGGTTACAGAGTCTGGGTTAACAGAAACTGGTAGTGGGGTTAACAGAGTCTGAGGTTACCAGAGTCTGGCAGCGAAGGGCGAGTAAGGAGGGGAAAGAGACATCAGCCTTCTTACTCCAAATTGTCTACTGAACGGGCCTTTCTGACTCCTCAGAGCATCAGAGCGAGCCACACTTGTATCACCAGTAGACCCCTATTATCTAATGGCTACAGATCTTGTGATCCTTCCAACCAGAGAGTGGGTACTGATCAGGTCAATAGGTTTGGATTTCTTGATTTGGGCAAATGAACTCGTGGTCAAGGGAGAATCTCTAATGCTCTCTGGATTTTCTCAGGCCTAAATTGTCCTCAGGTGGAACATTGTCCAGCTGTCACTGAGTGCCTGAGACAGTCAAGCCTCAACTCCCTTTGCTGGTGGGGGTCAAAGAGCAGTAACTGAGTGGAGCTAGCATTGGTTCTACTTTGATTCTGGCAAACACAAAGCCCTGCCACATTCGCTTATTGGGCAACTGGGTCACAGCCCTGCGGGG